AGTATGAGAGTTTGGAGAGGGAAATGGGGTTATGATAAAGATACATTATGGGAGAGAAAGAAGGAAAAAGAAGAAAAGCAAATAAAAACTCCAGGATATACAATAAGCTACACAATGAAGTCAAGATCCAGTTATGAAACAACTAGTCCAAATTAGAACAGGAAATCAGTGGATTTAATGAAGATTAATGAAAAGGATTATAAGCAATTAAAAGAATGATTAAGAAGCTAGTAGTTGTTTTTTACAAAAGCATAAGGTTCTTCTCCCTGTTTTTAAAGTTTCAGAAACTCAAGAAAAACAAAAGGTTATTTTTAAGTTACAACCCACATATGACATAAACTAAAAAGGACATGATTTTGAGTAACTGGTGGCACTCAAGAAAGGGTCATCCATTTGAACATTCCTCTTGAGTAGCATGGGATCGTCACTTTGGAAACACAGAGAAGAAAACACCTCTTCAAAGAATAATATTTCCCTAGTTATAGCAATGCAAATGCTGAATGTCAATTTCCAACAATTAGAATCAACCTTACAAATAGAGCATGGTAAACTTAATTTATTATTGAATAAACAAAAATCTGATCAACCTTAACAGTATTAAAGTAAAACTATAGCCGAGGCAAGATGAGAAGTGGAAGAGAGAATGGAGAAGAAACGATGGGGATGGAGGCGGAAGGGAGCACAGGTGATTACTGCTTTTCATTATATGGCCTTTGTTCCCCAGGCGTTGTTTTGAGTAAAAATTCGTTAAATGTTTTGAGGAACTGCTACCAGTGGCAAATGTTACAAAAGGTCAAGTGAGAAAAAGCTAGATTTGCCCAATAAGGTCACAAGTGACCATGGAGAGGACTCTTTCAGTAGAATATTGGAATGAAACCAGAATGCAGGGGTGGGCTGGGAACAGATGGGACATGAAGACCAGGAGAGGACAATTATACCTGTCAGAACTCTAAGGAGAGAAGAAAAGTTGCCAACCAGAGGGATTAAAAGCAAAGAAAAGGCTGTTGTTGCTATTTTTATTTACAAAGAAAAACATGAGCAGGTTTTTAATTTGATTGAGGTAAAGAAGTGATGACAGGTGATGAAAACCAGAGCTAGGGTGAGGAATCAGCCTGTCAGAAGAGGTATGTACTCTTTGGAAGAAGAAATGAGGTAGTCGTACTGGGATGGGAAGGCAGAGAGCTGGTGAGACACAACCTTCAGCAGTATCAAGGAAAACTTCTGTCCCCTAATGAAGTGCCATTTGACTATTCTCAGTCCATTGCAAGTTCATTTGGAAAAAAAACCAGGTGGGAGAATTTTGAAAACATAAAATTAGCTGAGATTAGAGTTGCTAATCATGCCATCCAAACCAATGTTACCAATGTGACCAATGTTAAAATATAAGTGCTAAAATCAGTATTCTAAATTTTGGGATAACATCAACTTCATTCTCATAACTCTAGAACTACTTTTTTTTAACCTGCATTCTGTCTCACTTTCAAATTAATCTAATTAATATGGCACATTACTATTCGGCTGCTAAATATTACAAACAGAAACCTATATTTATGACAAACTTTAGAAATGTACTTTGAGTATCAGAGTAGTTACTTTTCAAACGGACATGCAAATTAGCAGATACATGGGTTGACATTATTTTACACTGTGGACGCCCTAGCAAAATTTATCCATTTTTTTGTTTGTTTTATTTCTGTTAACAACCTTCCACCCAAAGTAGTTCTTCCTCTGGGCATGTATGCTGTTAACACAGTGTTGTGTTACTCCATGCCAGGCTTGCCCTAAGTAACCTGAAGCCTGCAGACAGATTTTAATAAAATGAAGGCATGTGTTTTTCTTTCAAAGCTTTTATTTTAAGATATAACTAAATCCATAAATTTGAGAATGTAAAAATATGCAATATCATTAAAAATAAAACAACAATGCAGGGTATTCTGAAGCAGACTGACTGGGTGACAAGTCCTGGGAATAAAACTAAATCTGTGGTGATCACAGATACACATGCTTCATTGCTAAGGCAGCCCCAACTCAGGAACAGTGGGATGTCAGAGTGAGCTTAAAAGAAGTGTTTATCCAGCAGCTTCCATTGTATGTCCTGGATTTCTGGAATATGATACAGTTACACTCTAGTGTAACACCACACACACCAGAGTGAAGGTTGGTTACAACACATGGGCAATTTGAAACTTTGCGATTTCAACAATGGCACCAACTGACTCAACTGTTTGGAGAAATGTAATCACAGTGATTTATTACTTTACACCAAATGTGTATCCAGCTTATAAACAGTCTACCACTGACCCCTTTTATCTCACACATAACTGAAATAGTGAATTTGCAGTCTTAGTATCACTCTATATTAAAAATGATAAAGCAGGTTTTCAGAAATAAAACTTTCCATCATCTCATCTACCACTTTGTTGTATTAGTCTACTTAGAATCATTGTCAATCTACCTAATCCTGGTTCTTGGTAAGCCTTACTTGCTGGTCCTACCTTTGTCTTTAGTAGCCTTTTTAAAAATCACCGCCTATTTTTGTACCATGTACGGAGACTTTGATGCATCCTTCAGGTAGATATTTCTATGTTTCCCCTCTATAGTGGTTTCCCCCACCTCTAAGTAATGTTCATGCTCTAATTGTTTATTATTCTGATCTACTCTTTGATCCATACTCTGTCATCTTGACCATATCATTCTTGCTGAAATCTAGATTTTACTTCTAAAGTTAACTTTTTTTTATACTATCCTAATGAAATTGCTCCATATTTTCATATACTAACTCCTTTGGCCTGTTTCTCTGTAAAGAAAAAAACAAAAACAGGGGTGCCTGGGTGGCTCAGTGGTTTAAGCCTCTGTCTTTGGCTCAGGTCATGATCTCAGGGTCCTGGGTTTGAGCCCCACTTTGGGCTCTCCACTCAGCGGAAGCCTGCTTCCCCCTCTCTCTCTGCCTACTTCTGATTTCTCTCTGTCAAATAAATAAATAAAATCTTAAAAAAAAAAAAAAACCCTCCCTCTTTAAGAATAACATTGACTTCATTCAAATCTTTGCTTCTAAGCTCTTAGAAACAAACTGTTAGGGAAAAAAATGAAACTTTTAATTTTCCATCAGGTTCTACTTTCTTAATACCAACTATCTTCTTCTTTATCTTTACCCAAGCTTTTGGCTGCTTACATTATCCACTATGACAGGCTGCCCTTCTCCTCCAACATTTCCACTTAAAAATCTGATTACTGAGACACACACACACACACACACACGCATGAAAACACGGAATCAAAGGAAAAAAATGCAGATCCTGTTTCTTATCTAGTTTAAGCTTTATAATCCAATGACCCTGCTCAAACTGAATCCTCTCTATGCATAACCAGAAGCATCCATCACTGTCTATGGAGACACAAAGTGGTATTAGGAGGAAAAAAAGGCAGGAGATACAGATATAACCCATACACATATATTAAAATTACATATTGCCCAAGAGTTTTACCTCATAAAAGTAAACAACTCTTCTTTAAAGGGCACAAAGGTGGGTTATCTCTCAAGTTAATGACTTACAAGGGGCTTTATACAGCTAAAGCCCAAAACTTTAGATCTCAAGCTTGATTTTTTCAAAGGGGGTCTTAAGGCTGTAACACTGAATCTGTCACAGGAACAAATGAAGAGGAAAGCTAGCACTGTGTCTTGGGTTTGAGAAGCAGCACCCTAATAGAACTCCCCTCAAATGGCAAAATAGGCAAAGGAAGACCCATATCAAACCACTATGGTTTGGAGAGTGATACACAGAGGGAATGAGTGAGGCTGAAGGAGGGGGGAAATGTAAAAATAAAACCAGAAGATGCCTTTATGCACCACTGAGGACAAATGCCAGGATCTGAGATATAATTAACTCAATGCGCTACACCTGAGGGCAAAACAAACCCAAACAAAGGCAACTCCAGGGAAGCGACACATTATATCTTCCCCTCAATCCTAGAGAAAACAATACACCCTCAAAATATTTCTGAGGTATAATCACAAAGTGACACAATCATCAGTCTTTAGGATCCAAACAAAACGAAAAAGATTTTCACCTAGAGTAAATAACAACTTTACATTACAGACAGAGCCTCGCGATAGAAGAAATACATGTCTAAGTCATCTCTCTACCATATGTCTTATGATTGCAGCTATTTGTGCAGAGAATAGAGTCAAATCAGTGCTGACCCAGAAGACATCCTTTCATTCAGTGGCATTTGGCCTCAATTGCTTCTCGGGTCTCCTTTCTCCAAAAAAAGGAAATTATATAATTGTATACGGATAGCAATCTAGAATAAAAAGAAATACTGCACTCTCTCTTTCTAGACAAAGGTTAGCTTTCTCTTTGTTCTTAGGTAATAACCCCTTTAAAATTGTCCTTTCGACTAGATACTCTACATGGAGGTGAGAGCTTTAAATCTCAGAAATGATCATCAGTTCAGAGTATGTTTCCTATGAAGGGTAAGGTTCAATATTCCAATGTCATTTTATTCCAGCCACAGAAAAATACATGTGTTTTCTTTAGCAGTGACAGGTTATGTAAGAAGAGTCAGAAGTCAAAGAGAAAAAGCATAACATTCATAGATTACCTCGAACCGATGTAAACTGTATTAGCTGGAAGACAATATTCATTAGGCTAACTCTTCTAAACAGGTGGAATTGAGTTTGGTACATCATGTCTCAAAAACTATTCACCTTAGGATCACAGGTGTGTACACAAGCATAGATGATATACATTAGCATGCAATGACTAGCAAGATACCAAAAGCCACACAGTTAGGTTGACGTCTCATTCTGTGAAAAGTGATGTGTTCTTTTAATGTAGGGAACATTATGCTTGTAATCAAACAAATTAATGTCTAGTCGTTCACTAAGCCATCGTGATTATTCCAGGCACAACTGGTCATATCTGGAGAAAAGACTCTGAAATGGGCAAAGCCCTAAAAGGTTCTCTCACCAAATGCCTGGCCTTCCATTCTCCCCTTACCTGATAATGAGCCTGGGCTTGCTGCGCAGAGTTCAAGGTGACATTGCAGAGTTTGCAGTACAGGGGCTTACACAGCTCCTCCAGGGCAGAGTCTTGCTCCCCTCCCTTCGGTAACTCTACTTCCCCGGCCAGAGGCAAAGAAGCCTCCTGCCCAAAAGGCTTCTGTGGCGGAAGCTGCAAAGTTCCTGCAGACCGGGCAGCCACTGACATAGGAGGAGAGGATGAGGGCCGCTTAGGCAGAGGAAGGCCGGCGTGTTGCAAGAGGATCATTGGGTAGGAAAGTCTTGGGCATAATCCGATGGGCGATGAGAACTCAAATCTTCAAATCTTTATCAACAGCAAAAAAAAAAAAAAAAAAAAAAAAAAAAAGCCCACTTAACAATGCTACCTCAGCAATACAACATGTAAATGACCACACCATCTGACCCCTTCCTCCACTTCTCCAAACCACCTTTGGGATTTCTTTTTGCTTCATCTAGCAGACTTCCCCTATCTGTTAATCCACACTGACACTATACTCTTCCACGGAGAACAGCCTTATAGATTTCACTTTATTTTGCTTGGCCCAGCTCCAACTGTGGTCCCTCGGGCCCACGGACATTAATAGCATTGCATCCATGGCTAATTAAATCTAAAAGTCACACGGCTGAAATGGACATCAAAGGTCACCCAGTCCAGACCCCTTCCCTCAGGCACACTGACACTTAACTACTCTCAATGATTACTAAGCACAGACAAAAACACCAGTGGCAAAGGACCTCAGCAAATGTCTCCTTTTCATCCAAATTGGTCTTTCCATCTAGAGGAATCAAAAACAGCAAAATAAAGACTTCCGAGTCTCAGAATCCTTCAAACACTTCTAGAGCTAGCTAAAATATCAAGGAACTCAGTTACTGTGTAAAAAAAATAAATAAATAAAAGAGTTCCTTCCCATCAACCAGTAATATTTAAAGAGGGAAGCCAATGAATGATTCTTCATAGCAGAGGCCGCAGGCAGCCTCAGATGTGCTCTGTTTGGAACATATAATGTAGTGTTTTGCTTTCACTTTTTAAATTGAATTAGTCATCAACATTTTAAAATCAAGAGATTCATGGCTTCTCCTGATAAAGGGATGATCTGGCAACATCTGACACATGGTCCTACATGGACAATTAATTAGAATGGAGAGGCACTGTCCCCAGTAGCCAGGTCTGTCTTCTCCAAGCCATCTCCTTCCCGCTTAGTGTACTATATTTGTGTTACTTAACTGCTCCCTGTAGGCTGTTGAGCTTAGGACCCCACCTCAGATGGTCTTAAACTATATTCATGAATCCCCTCTAAAATCAGAATATCTTCTCTCCCTCTAGCCATAAATTACCTGCATAAAACAATGTATCAAGTAAATGTCCTCTGAGGTAATGGTTCACACTGTCAGAAGCCCCCATTTAATTCTAGTTCCTCAGTCTTTCAGCAATTTCCTTTTCCCTTTTTATTAAGTAACTGATTATTCTGTTTTGCTCAGAAAAGATCCAATATGTTCCAATACCTCTTTGATTTTATACATGATTTCTCCTGCCTCCCACCCAGATGGTGCTTTCTAGCCCTGAGTATCTCAAAATGAACCACAGTACATGTTCTGAGTTTCCATGATTCTAATTAACTCAAATTAAAATCCCAATTCCAAAATACACAATTCCTTCCACTCTCTCAGTACTATTAAAACCTCTTTCCTTGGTGAATAAAATATGGCTATTTTAAATGGCTGAAATTTTCCATCTGCAAGAGAAATGTGTATATTTTCTGACAATAATACATTTACCAAAATTAACCAAAATTTTAAAAAGTTAACAATCTCTTTTACCACATTTAATAAGTATACACATGGAAATTGCAATCAAGTAACAACTTTTATACTAAATTCAGGGTCTGGGAGCAGCAGAGGTATCAGTGCAGTAACAAAGTACAAAAATTGGTCATAATATTCAACAGTACTTCTCATTCATAATACTTAAAAGAACAATATTTTTTATTCTTAATCAGAAGTATGCTATCCATATCTCTGGGAACATAAAGGAAAGCAATGCAGATTTAGGACCTTTAAAAAGATTCTCTGTAATCATATTATTCCTCTCAATTAAATCACACAAAGACAGGCATGGACATTTTAAAAAGGAAAACTAAGGAAACAAAAACCATGGATTCAAAAAGTTAACTACCTAATTATAATAATTCACAATATTAAAAGACTACACAAACCACCTGTACAGAGACATACTGATATCAAACTGCCACAGACAAGCTGCCAGTTCAGAACGGAAAATGGAGGAGGGTGTTGAAATACCGGGATAAAGGAAATCAACAATATAAACAAAATCAAATACTACCGATTGCCTAGACATGTCTGGACTTGTTTTATGAAAGCTCACTCCCACTTGAGGAAATTCCAGCACGCATCTCCCCCAGTGTTGCCTACAGGTTTCCATCAAAACAAAGGACAGTCTCAAAGCCCAGAGGTACAAGAGACCCCCTCCAGAATTGATAAAATCCCCTGCATTCCTAAAAAAAAATAAAAACTCTTGCCAAGTACAGACATACCCATTATCACATTTCACCTTTACAGTTTTTTAAAAATAGCTAGATATTCCAAAGTTATTTCCTGTAATATTCAACAATCAAAATGATAATATAACTCCCAAAAAGGCTCTGTGCATGACAACTACATCTGTTCACTATGCTAGCAAACAAAAACTGGCATAAATCTAAAAGAAATAAAACCAAGCCTTTAGAGAAAGCATGGATGGTGGAATAGATACTCAAAGCAAAGGCGACTCAGATCCGTTCAACTACTGCAGTAGATGAAAAGAAACTAACTCGATGGCTGATGTAAATAAAATATTCCTCAGATCTTAAAAACCATTCAATTTGATGCTTGAAGTGACACAAATGAAGGCTTTATGATGGTTAAGGTCCTGGTTTGGAAGGGGTTTTGAGGAGATAATAAAGAAAGTCAAAGCTTCATAGTGTACCCTGTTTAAAGAAAACGGATGGTCATAGCATAGTTTTCACGATTGGACTGGGGCCTACTCTTCACATACTGTATTAAAGACAACCACTTTCTCATCTGGAGAAATCTACAGAGGAAAGACAACAGTGTAAAGGAACAGGTTATTGACACCTCAGCAAACTAGGGAAGTCTGTACAGTCACTGGGAATTCTGGAAACGAGGCGAAAACGGTGAGCATTATTCAGAGGTCATCAGAACGCATGGGGAAGGAATGAGAGAGAGAAAAATTGAAAAATAATCAGCTGAAGCAAGGTATGTCCTGTAAGGAAGACTGAAAAGAACGCAGGGATCTGGGGAAGAAAAGGCCTTGGTGAACTGGCGAATGTTTTTCCAGTCTCAGCTACGACGGTTCCTATCCAGGGGAATCGTTCACACATTTGAGTCTAAGCTACAGACACTTCAGCATCGCCCACATATACCTTACATTCCTAATGTGTGCCTGCATCCACACAAGCGCGCGCGCACACACACACGGGCACACACGCACCTCAATCCCGTAAGGATGCCATCACGAAAGATGGAATCCCCCGTCTCCTACCGGGCGGGGGGGACGCGAGGGCCAAGGCAGCAGCACCGCTAGACGATCCGAATGGTACACGTGAAAAGCTCAAAAACAAACGGATAAATAAAAGCAGCGCAAGCCTGTCACGTGGAGGGCAGGTGGAAAGCCCGCACCCGATAGGAACCGCTAGTCGCCTTCGATCCCGGGCTTGTCCTAAATGCCCCGAGACTCGCGATCGTCCTCACTTACCGGAACCCTCCGGCCGCGCCAGGAGTCTGGGCGCCGCGTCCACCCGGGGCGCCCGCCGCCGTCTGCCCCGCGCTCTCGGCTCGGCCTGACTCAACTCTGTCTCGCTCCGCGCAACTTTCCCGGCTGGCCCCGGCCGAGCCCCCGCCGCAGCTGAAGGCTGACTGTCAAAAGTCAGTCCAGCCGGACCCACAGGGAAACAGCTGCAGGAAGTGACTGCGGAACCGGGAGGCGGCGAAGGAGGAGACTGAAGGCGCCGGCCCGGCGTCACCACTGCGCATGTGCCAGGCAGGGCCGGCCCGGCGGCGGCGGCGGCGGCGGCGGCGAGGGCGACGGCGACGGCGGCAGAGGCGGCGGCAGAGGCAGCGGCAGCAGCAACAGTGGCGGCGGCGGGGGCTGCACGGCTGCTCCAGCACCCCTCATAGGCCGAGTTCACAGGCCGAGTGCGCGCCGGACAGGTGCGGGCACCGCGAGCACAGGGACGCTGGGGCGGGGATGGGAAAGAAGCAGGAGGCAGAAGGTGGGTGCACCACCCAGCGAACAGGTCCTAAGAGCTAGCTGTTTATCACCTACACCCAGGAAAGTTGATCCGGAGTAGACGCTTAGACAGAGCTTTTGCAACTTTTCATCTCCTGTCATTGAGATCCAAACCTTTTTCACTCCAGCCGCGCCCTCAGTCCGCTGGTTGCCACCTAAGGTCCTGCCAAATTGTCCAGGATCCTTTAAAGTGCTGTGACAGAACCTTTAAACGGCACCTCTCCCCAAGATGAAGAAGAGAGTGACTAGCGGTTAAGTGGTCTCCAATCACACAGGAGTGCGTGTGTGTGCGCGCGCGCGTACACACACACACACACACACACACACACACACACCTGCACTACAGTGGGCAAGAGATAGAGAAGACTTTTCTCCTGATCCCTAGATCGTTATCTGCAAGACAGGAAAGACCAGAAAGAGATCGGCTGGTGCTAGAATGTCACACTTCTCCTAGTCAACCTCGACACTTGTAGGGTTGACATTGAGATATGAACTGAGGAATTTACAGCTCTAAACCTCTATTAATTTGTCAACTATTCCATAGGAAGATTTGCTGCGGGGGTGGTGGCAAAATATACATAAATTTACTATTTCACCATTTGAGGTGTACAGTTCAGTGCCATTAAGTATATTCACATGGCCATGTGCTTGTTTTTTAATCATTAATTAAAATGTCAAGGAGATCTACGTACAGAAATGTGCCCGAACAGTAGGCAACTACTGCAGGAAATTAAGATTGTTTCTTTGATGAAAAACAGGCCATCCAGGACCACCACCAACAAACCAGAGTGACTGTATTCCAGAAATGACTTCATAAATACAATGATTGTTTAACAATCATACACACACAGCTAGTGTACACAGGCCATTTGGGGAGAGTAATCAATCACACCTAGGTAGAAAACAGAATTTTTCTGAATTGATTCTCTCAACTGTTTATGTATATATACTTTGTGTGTCAAAACCTTAAAGGGACACATTGCTTTTATAATAATAAATGCTGCTGAAATTCACTTTCCAGCCCTCTTCTTGCATGGTCTTTAGCTACATCACGGTCTATACTCTTTAGCTAGGACTGCAGCTGGATCTCTGCTAGCCTTTCCAACCTGTCCATCGTATCAGTCTCTTAATAATGAACAAAACAGAGTCACTCATATTTACTTGCTTACTCATGGATAGGTCCCATCCATGGCATTCACTTTCCTGCCTTTGTAACTTACCTCTTATCTGCATCTTGAATGCCAAGTGCTTTTTCTCCCCATGCCTGTATTTCTAAATCCTACCTACCCTTTAAGCCCTAGTCTTCAATGCACTGCATAGCACTTCTCTGCACACTTTGATGACACACTTAATATTTATTGCTCTGTATTATAGTTACTTAAAGAAATCACTATTCTGCCCTACAAATGTCTTAAGCACAGAAAGGATACATATCTTGGGAATTTTCAAATTGTATATTTCATTCTTTAATTCAGTTCTGTATGTCAGGATAGAAATCTGACATACTAACTGAGGTACCTCACTCTCCAGCTCTGTACACAGACATATATTTCCATGTCCTCTACCCTTGGTGTTATACTCTTCCCAAACAGCTAGGGCATTTCCTTCCCTGCCACAGGGAGAAAGAAGAAGTAAGTCTCAGATGTTTGTTTAACAGATATTTGAAGCTCATGGTGTGTCAATAGTCTTATAAATCAAAGGTTTGGGTTTGAAATAGCTCTTTAGGAGCTGAAAGAAGAAAAGAAATTAGACCGTAATATATAAATCAGCTTCTCTGTAAAAGCAAACAGCTCCCAAATCCCAATGGCTAATTGCCACAAAGGTTTATTTATTGCGTGTACAATAACATGCTGTGGATCAGCTCCCAAGATCTTCTTGTTCCAGGCCCCAGGCTGAAGAAGCAGTCCCTGTATGGGACTTGGCAATTCTCATGACATGTGGGAAAAACCTGAGAGACTGCAGAAACCCATGAGGTCTCTTAAAGCTGCTGCTTCAGCATGTCATGACATGTCTACTCAAATCCTATTGGCCAAAATTTTTCGTATAGTCAAACTCCAAGTCAGTGGAGAAGAAGTCTACAGCTTCCATAAGTAAATCACATATCAATGAGCATGGGTTCTAATCTTACAGACCAGTGGTGGGTGGTGGTTAATTATAAACAATAATGCAAACTGCCACAAGCACAGGGGAACCATTTCCCTCATCCTAGAGGTTTTGGTATCATCAAGAAGGGATTTATACCTCCCACTCATAGTCAAGATTAGCTTAGAAGAAACTATGGAGTTAGAAATAACAGAACCCCCAGATATATTTCTCAGATTGGAAGACAAAGGAGATCTGAGTTCTATTGCTAGGGCAGAAATCTGAAAAACAACCAAGGTCCTGGTGTTTCTCTTTGATAAGCCAACAGAGAGCAGCATGTTAGCATGAAGTATTTGGGTATGGAGAGCCAGAGAAATGCCCCAACACCTGTTCTGTAGTATCTATGGCATTAAAGACCATTCAAAGGGGCTAAGAGAGGACTATAAAGGATGGAATGGCTTAGAGGTCAAAACAAAGAAGGACAGAGCTAAGTGCATAGATCAGTGATCCAAAATCAATAGAAAGGTGGACATCAGTTTCTGAGGTAAAGCCAAGGGTGTTTGCATCTGAGAACTAGGTATCTACCCTTGCCACCTGCCTCCACAGCCCACCCCAAAGAATTTAGTGGCTACCCTGAGAAGAACAAGGGTGAGTCAGATCATTATAAAGAGATTATATTTTAACCAGAAATGATTTGGGGTCAGGAGCGATTTTTGGGTAACAGAAGTACATGTGGAATTGGCCAAATTAAGCTTTCTTGCCTTAGGAAGAATTAGATTTTGACATTGTGGCTAATTTCAATTATTTTTAAAAAAATATTTTGCACTCTTGAGTTTTATGACCTGATTTAACATAACTAGTATACTTGTATCACCATGGTTGATTAGATAAATGGATGAATGAATGAGATATCTCTGTTTCTTCCCCTCTATAACAGGGATTATAGTGCCTTACAGTTAAACTTCATAGGAATGTTGTCTCCTTGGTGTAACTATTATGTGAGAAACTCTCTGAATTTATCAGAAGGAAACACCCATATTGAAATAAGGATAATCATTTTTCATTATGTTAGATCCCATACTGAGAAAATCTATATTTTGCATGAGTTTATTTACCAAGGAGATGGTTCCAACATACTTTTGGTGTCATGGCTTGAGCCTCTGGGAAATCTAAGCCAGGAGTCTTCGTGCTATTCCCAAAATCAGAAAAAAATGGGGAAATACTCATTCTTTCCCATGTACCAATGCAATTTGTCAGATCAGATCCTCTTTGGAATGTAAATTTCCATCATTATTTGAAACTGCGTCCTTTACTCTCATGCCCAGGCCATGACACATTATATCTTCCAGATCACCTTTATTCTTTAAATCATAGAGAAAGTCTCCAAAATTATTTGTGTCTCACACTAACTACTGCTTTTCAACACAATCCTTTCTTTCTAATCAAAGAAGTACAACAAAAATCAAGCAAAATAATCTCTCAGGCATTTTAATAGCATTTTAACATTTTTTTATTTTATTTTTTTTTCAGTGTTCCAAGATTCATTGTTTATGCACCACACTCAGTGCTCCATGCAATATGTGCCCTCCTTAATACCCACCACCAGGCTCACCCAACACCCTACCCCCCACATCTTAATATTTTTTACTTAAAGATTAAGTGTGAAGAAATAGTAGGAAAATGGTGATAGCCCCGACATGAATTTTTAACCTCCCTAAATTTCCCTGATTAAAAAACTAGACAAATAGCAAACCCAAAACTCTATAGACAACAACTACCAGAAAGTATCTACACAGCCCCAAATACAAGTGATGATAGGACAAACCACCAAGAGCTACAGAGCTGTGTGGTTTCAGCAAGAGACAGCAGAGAGAAACAGCAGAGACATGGGAAAGACTGAGAATACCAAATTAGCCAACAGGGACTCACTGGAAAGCTCAGTGAGCCAATCTGAGGACAGCAACTGAAACTGAAAGGAGCCCCGCCCAGTCCAGGAGCAGATGCATGGAATGGGTACCTTTGAGTTCTGAAGGGAATGGAGCACTTTGAGGCCCATCAGCTCTCAGAGCTAACTAACCCTAACTCCATTCCCAAACTGAAGAGAAAGTGCTGAGAAAATGCAAATAGTGCAGATTAGAAAAAGAGGAAAGAGACGATCCAGAATTGAAGAGAGGAAGGAGCCAGGAGATCTCAGAAAGTAAACCAGGATCCTGGTGAACATAACATTAAGAAAAGAAAAGAATGAGCAGTAAAGCCTGAAGTTGAAAAGGTATCTTAACCCACCCATCCTTCAGCTCCTGATCAAACCTCTAGATTGGGTCCCAAACTAGCAGGGCATAACAGAGGACAGAGAAACATCTCTCATCTCTCATCTCATAATGCAATTTAAGCATTATGGGATGCACTCAACAAAATCCAGACATAAGACAAATGACCTGATTTCTTCAAGATTAAATCACACAGCAAAACAGGGATGGGAAAGGTATGTGGGGGGGATATTTTTAAAGTCTTTAACCTGCAGATTAACATTTCCCTCCAGGAGGAAGAAATCTCTATAGAACCAGGAGCACCAAGGGCAAGAGAAGACTGATACTCAGCTCAAGCAGTCACAAAGAGAGAAAGCAAATTCT